ACTAGCCAACCAATAAAATTGTGTTTGCTAACGCCGCTACTCCATATTAAGTTATACCACTCCACAGCCGGACTCTCGTGTCTAAGTTCATCCAAGACATCATGATAACAATATCTTGGATTAGACATGACTTAATCATGACAACTCTCCAACGCCGCTCTTCCTGGTTTTCTTCTTTCTCCTTAATTTCTTCTTCTTCTTCTTCATTCCTGGCCTACTGTCAGCGGCCGGCCACAGGCCAGGGCCAACGAGGGCGTCGTGGCCCTCATCAGATCTGGTATGGGCGACCCTCGCCGCCGCCCTCGCCAGATCCGATGAGGGCGGCCCTCGCCCAGGCCGCAAGCCGCCCTCGCTAGATCTAGCGAGAGCGGCCTTCGCCCAAGCGACAAGGGTCCAGCCCTCGGCCGACAAGGGTCGCGACGCCCTCGCCAACCCTGGTCTGTGGCCGGTCGCCGATGCCGGCAACTGGCCATGGCCAAGGAAGGGGAAGGGAAAGAAAAAAAAGAGAAATATAAAAATTAAAAATATTATTAAAATATTATTGATAAAAAGAAATTTTGTGCAGTTATCAAACACATTTTTGTTCTTTTTCTATTCCCTGAATAGAAATTTTGAACAGTTATCAAACGTATTCAAATACTTAGATATTGTTCCCAGGCACGGAATAAAAAAGATTCATTTGTAAGCAGAATCAGCTTCCAGAAACATAATGATTGCCAAACGGGCCTTTAGTGACCGTCCCTAAGAAATTATCGTATGTTGTCTCTTTCTTAGCAGCGTCATAAGAGGATGACGGAAGTTGCCCCAACTGTGTTTTATCTTCTTTCTTTTTATCTCCGACAACGTCGGTCTTTTTTGGCAATAAATAATGACTTGGACTTGTATTTAAATATGAGTCCGGACAGTGGAAACCAATCGTATGTGAAGTACATCGGACGTGAGAAAAACATTATCTGGTCTTATTTAATGAACGCGTGATGCTAAAGAAGACTAATCGCGTGATTTACTTCATCCACATCGCTTGTCTAATGTATTTAATCTTAGTTAAAATAATTGCAAGGTTTCTGGACATACAATCAATAAGAATCGATGAAACATTAATTTAGTTGGCGCGCTTTTACATTTAACACGTTATCACTAGTTTCAAAAGTTTGGGAAAAGGCCCCATTGAATAGACTAGGTAACGAGGGAAGATTTATGACTGTTATTTTTTTTGGCGCATTGAGCGTGAGTAAAATAATCGGGGCTTGTGAAGTTCGACTTACATTAAGTCCACGCCCTTGGAGTTTTTTCTTTTTTTAAAAATTGTAGATATCTTGACACACATAGAAAATGTGTTCTACCTTTTTTGAGGAATTGTCTATCTCATTTATCTCCGCATATGGTACGATATGTAAATTGATTTATCCGTATGAAAGTGAGCATGAAAATAATTCATGAAGATCCACTGTGATTCGACAGCTTCCTCAAGGATTTCTTATGCGATGAGTCCTCTTAAGCTTCTTGTATTGTAGTTTAATCATCTTAGTTCTAAGTGTGCTTGCTTAGCTCTAGTTTATTCCGGAATTAAGGCAGGTCCTTGCTCTAGGAATTTCACCTTGCAATCTCAACTGATGTAATGCTTGTCCAAGGCGTATTAAACACTTCATTATTATTTCTGACTATTCCCTAGATTAAACCCCGTCTTTCTCTAATCTAATTGAGTAATTAGATCATTATAGTTTCATATATCTACACTATAAATACTGAAAATAGGTTCATAATAATGTTTCTAGTTTTACTTTCATAGCACAATCTCGAGCTCAGAGCTAATTTGCTTGACAACTTGATCTGCCTGAGCTCAAACTTCTGCAAATGAGTTTGGTTTGAGTCCAGTCGAACTCAAACTTATTGACAACTTGATCTGGTCGAGCTCGAGCTTATCACAAACATCAACACAATCGAGCTTGAGCATGAGAAATTTGGCACAAAGCTTGAGAACTTGAGCTTGAGTCTAGTATTGATACATGCATAATAGCAGCATAGTGCAAAAATATGTATATAATTGAGTAATTACAGGCAACTCGGAGGTAGTTGAATATGATCCAAGTACTTTTATTTACGATATCGTCATTGATCAAGAAAGTTAACAAAGGTCAAATTTCTTCCATGGTTATTTTCGAAATCTTGAAAAGATTTTAGGCCACACATGACTTCTTTTTTCGAGGTTTTTTAAAAGCTTGGATCAAAATTGTCCTTAAGAAAAAAATTTCTGATTTCTTTGTATAGCGCCCAATATAAACATAACACTAGAACGAATCTGTCCATGGTTTTTTGGATGTACGATCTTGTGATATCATATTTTATTGTTATGAACTGTGTCTGCCATTTAGAAACTGCAACAGTCGTCGAATTTTTAGGTAAGTGCCTGATGATCAAGGCTTACCATTTTGCAGAACCAAGATTTTGGTTCTGCACCCTTGTTTCTGCAAATCTCCAGACTTGTGAAATTTAGCTCAAATGATGTAGAATCAAACTTAGCTTCTACGTGATTTAGATATGAGCTTCTATACACTTAAATTAAGTCATTAAATACTTGGATTAAGTTTTGTTAGGGAACAAAAATTTTCTTTTGTAAGTTTTCTTCTAAGGGATTTCTTGAAATTGCGAGTAAACATGACTACATCTTCCTATTGTCAACACATTTAGGATAGCGTGCGATGACGGGATTGCCACGTTAGAAGTTTTGGGTGAGATTTGGTCGGAAAAACTTAATTGCTTTTCACTCAAATGTTTAGGATTGCATTGGTTCAATTAAAAGCTTTAGACTCAATGAGAACCCGTACAATAGGTTTAGGACTGATTGTGCAATTATCCAAGAAATATGTCACTTGACCGTCCATGGAGCTTCCCTTAAAGATTGTATCAACATTAATATGATGACACTGTACCATGCAATTTTATTAACATTTTTTGTATCACATAACTGACATATTCAATTAGAATTTCCTTTCCACTTCACGTTCTTTCCCATTCCCTCCTACGCCATATATTCAATTAATGTAATATATAGATGTGAGTGTGTGGATTTACATGCGTGTGCGTATGTGTGTGATGTCATTCATTTACCCAACTTTGTGGATCTATTAAGCACATCTAATGTTGAGTTTGAATTGAATATGTTTGCAGCTCAATGTAACTTATATGGAAAATGATGCAAGTGTCAATGCCATGGATAGGTGTGTGACACCAGCATGTAATATTTTACATACCTAAATATGCAAGGGCATTAACATACAACATAAATTATCCATACGCACAATTTGCTTGCCGAAGCACATATGCAGATGGATAGAGACATAATAATGCATAAATCATGATTCACTCTCGCAAGTATACATTAGTAATATATATATATATATATATATATATATATATATATGAGGGAGAGAAAACGAAAGGACATTGTGATCTCATCCCAAACGCGCCATGCAAAACGAGCTAGAGGAGCATCATTGTGATCGTTCACCCAACAAATATTGTCACAATGGCAAATTATATCGCAATGTTTTTTTCTATCAAAAGGATTAATAAAAACCATAATAATTCATACTTGATACTGATTGGTAGATGATTAAGTGGTGCTCCATAAGCACCTTAAATTTCTCCCTTTGCAATGACTATGGCCTAGCTAACTCAATGATTGTTGGTGAGTTTTTTTGTTTGATAACCTCGGAGCACAATTGTAATTAGCTGGCTATCTAAAGGAGAACTAGCACAATAAGTCGACATCATGGCATCACCTAAATATAAGGATAAAAGTGTTAGAATTGTACCAAACATATTGTATTGGTACCAATTGAGTTCTAAATATTTTGACCTATAACAAATTCAGTTCGTCTGGCTGATTTTGGCCAGACATATTTTAATATTTTTTTAAATTTTTTTTCTTTCCTTTCTTTTTTTTTTTCTCTCTCTTTTTTTCCTCCTCTTTCCTCCAATGGCCGACAAGGGCTGGCCTCGCCTAAGCGACCGGCCAAAGGCAAGGGCCGGCAAGGTCAACCTCGCCAGTTCTGGAGAGGTCGGGCCTTGCCCTTGGTCGGCGAGGCTCAACCTTCGCCCACCTAGTGCGAGGCTGCCGTCTCGGCCTTTGGCGAGGTTGACCTCACTAATCCTCGCCTCTGGCCGGTCGCTAAAGTCTAGCAACTGGCTGGAGGAAGAAGGAAGGGAAGGAAAAAAAAAGAAAAAAAGAAAAAGAAAAGAATAAATCAAAATTCGAAAAAATATCAAAATGTTATTAAAAGTTGCCCATGTTAACGCCGGCTGTGCCACGTAGGCCGATCGACGTCCACGTCAATAATATCCTGCCAAAATTAGCCGAAAGAACTGAATTTGCTCTAGGTCAAAAAGTAACTAAATTGACAACATTAAAAGGTTTAGAACTAAATTGACACAAATGCAATAGATTTAAAATTTTTCTGACACAAGTGTCATATGGCAAAAAAAAAAAAAGTGTCCTATGGCAGAAATTGAATCTACAATCATTGATTTTTTAGCCGAAAATGTGGCATTATCAAGGGGCTAGTCAATGAGGCTCCTCTTCATAGACACGTGGCTCGTGGATCTCTTTTATTTTCCTTGGAACTCCTGGTCGCTCAAGAAAATGTCTAGGCCCTCATCCATAAACTACCTCAATTCAGAAAGACACTAAAAAGAAAATTGAAAGCCCAAGAGAATTTCTCTAGTTTATGAATCATTTATACTATTGATATGAAGAAATAAATACTTTGTTATTCCAAAATATGATCATTACATATGGGCCGAAATCTATTTTTGAATTTTCAAACTCCACATGCGCTTCAGCCAGCAACTCATAAATGCCAAACGATGGCTCGAAAAGTTTCGTGTATAAATAGCGGAGTGCCTCCGTTTCCAACCCATGGTCTGAAAAGCTCTAAATGTTTTGGCTCTCTCTTACACTTCGCACGCCCAACATACAAAATCCTCCTTCATACACAAACATGAGGGACTTGCAAGGAAGCCAGATGGAAGTGGTGAACAAAATCCACACCAAAACCTCCGACGTCATGAATAAACTCCACACTCAGACTGTAAGTCGCGCTAAGATCGAGCTTTTCGTGTGCCTCATGGTCCTGTTGCTAATCCTTCGCGCCGTCTTCGGCTTGTCGAGGCATTGGTATACCAACCGGATGCTCAAGGTCGCTCTGTTGGCATTATACACCCTCCCGAGCCACCTCATCACGCACACGCTCGGTCTCATGGAGGAAGCGGGGGAAGTGTTGCTCCATAGTGAGCTGTTCCCGGTTTGGGCTACTTTCTTGATGATCTTCTTCAGGAGCTCGGGCTACTTCTCCGACTACAGCCTCGACGACCGGATATCCTATAGTTGGGAACATTTGCTCAGGAACATCTTGTTAGCCAAGATGTTGATCTTTAGTGTGAGGAATTCGTGGGTGTTTTGGGTGGTCACGACGATTTTCGGGGTCATGTGTCTATTCCTATTCGTGAAGCTCAAGGACAATGCAAAAGCAAAGTGTCTCCTGACTGCTCGCGGGTATGACCTGCAGAGATCTACCAAATTGATCTCTGACTACATGAACTCCGAGCACCAGACGTCAGATCCGTGCAATCTCGACCCTATCCAGATGAGAGGATACAACTATGTTATGAGAGGCGAAGAGACAATATGGGTAAACGGTTCACCCCTGGAAATCACAGACGAAGTCGTCACGGTCGAGAAGGTGTGGACATGCCAAGGATGGCTTTTGAGCTCGACAGGCGGGGACGAAGACGGCAAGCTCAAGGACATTTGCCTATCGTTTTCGCTCTACAAGCTTCTCTCCTTGAGATTTTGCAGCTATTCGTTGCCCAAAGAAGCTCACAAAAAGCTGTGGAAGTTGATTCGGAATGGTTTCCTTGCAGAAAAAAATGGCTACGAGCGAGCATTTAGGGTCATTGAGCTAGAGCTTTCCTTTCTTTTCGATCCGTTCTACACTAAGTACCCGTTCATCTTCCACCCAGGCCGTTGGAAACTAAAGCTGATGGAGATCTCGCTTTTCTTCATTGGTTCTCTGGTGATAATCGTACTTTGTTTTACACCGCACCACTCGAATGCACCTCAAGATAAAAGTAAACCGGCTACTTCAGGAGGGTTGAGCAGCGACGTTATCGTGAAATCGCTAATTCTTATGGCATGCGCAGCTGTGGAGCTTGTGCAGCTAATCTTGATCGCCACCTTGGAGTGGACGAAGGTATCATTGCTATGCAAGTACGTCCGAACAAACTCATGGCAAGGGAACAAATGGATCGAGAAACTCATAGGACGTATATGTCGGACGCAATTACTGAAGCCTTGGGAAAGAAAACTTCACCAATACTCGCTTCTCGAGTCGCATGGTTACACACCTCCGAGGTGGGTATGCATTCGCGCCAAAGCCGGCTATATCCACCACGCACGGGAGGGTAAAAAACAAAGCACTCCGGCCAAACTGTCCTCAGAAGTGAAAGAAGCCGTTTTGCATTCTTTATACTCGAATCTCGGGGTATTGGAGAATGGAGAGCCTTCTTTAAGACTAAACAAAGTGGCAGGTAGGCTCTCGTGGGCGTGCAGGCTCGAGACGCAGACTCGAGTCATAATTGTGTGGCATATTGCCACAAGTATTTGCGAGCACGAGGTGCGGATTTCAGATTCGAATTTCCTCGTGGCAACCCGCTTATCCAAATATCTCGCTTACTTGGTAGCGTTCTCTCCAAAGTTGTTACCTGATTGCCCAGACGACACGGAGTATATTTTCGACCAAACCATTCTCCAATCAAGAGACATGCTCACAGGGTGCAAGACCGGAGAAGAAAGAATTCGGAAATTGAAAGAGATTGGTAGGACAGTGGATGGTACAGGTAGCGTGATAAATAGGGGCGCGCAGTTAGGACAGCAATTGCTGAAAGACAAAAAGGACCCAAAGTTCAATTGGAAGGTATTGGCCGAGTTTTGAGCAGAGCTTATGGTGTATGTGGCTCCGTCGGATGATGCGAAAGCACACGCGGAGAACTTGGCGATGGGTGGGGAGTTCGTGACTCACTTGTGGGCTTTGGTCTCTCTTGCCGGCATCAAGCGAGAACCTCCTGTTGAGCGATCTACTCTCAAGAGATGCCGAAGCTGGAGCAATTGATTGTTGAATTGGGTCTGATCAAAACTTCTTGTGTATCTATCTCTCCTACTCGTTCAATGTTTTACTTCTTCAGCTATATCTTTTGTAAGGATCTGTCAGAATACTTGGTGTTTAAGAGCTATCTCTTAAGGAGATTCTTTCTCTATATAATTTGCAACCTATATGAACACTTTAAGAGAACATATCCACAACAACATCGCAGCAAACTTCTTCCAAAATGTTAGAATTTCCGACAGTCTTACTTTGCCGCTCTTGGTCACTCAATATGCAGACTTTGTACATCTTGTTTACAGTCTTGCCGATGTCGACCGTTGAACTGAGTGGAAGAACAGAGCATAAGAAAGATTCCGAAGGCTTGTCTTAATTAAACAAACAGTGCGTGAAGCGGGGTTATCTAAACCTCCAATCGAGTTCTCTATTGTAAGTTACAAACATGAGAATAGTTGAAGACGTCAGAATGAGCTCAAGAATTCTTCTTAAAGGTATCTTTTGCTGTACATTACATGCGGTTTGCAGAAAAATATGGACGCCGTTCCTTAACCTAGAACAACGGCCAAGGTACCAAATTGACTTGTAACAATGGCAATGAGTCTCCTTCCTTCCACATTTTATTTTCTCTAGTCGTTACTGTCCATCTCAGCTCAAGCATCAGCACTGCGCGCCTCCATTTCTGCTCCATGTTATGACCAAAAGGACATGGATGTTCAGCAATGCATCGTTGATCGGACCAGTTGGTGGTGGTGCTCACGATATTCACGTTGAACATTTCTAGAGCGGTGAGTTGCGCAGGTTTTGGCAGCCATACAATCATGTCAACGAGACACTCTTACCAAAAATCACGAGGCTCGATTGCGAGAAAAAGATAGTTTCACGCTGGTCTTATCATCTTTCTAAGTAATACCGATTGTATAAGATGATTGCATTGGGCACATACGATCAGGAAATTCGAAGGCAAAAAATAAGCAAGCTTTTGCATTAAATCGATAGCCATCTTCTGGCCCTTGGGGATCTACGCTCATTTTCAGCGCCCCTAAGTACTTATCGCCTGCCACGCTCTTGATTACAACGCTCTTCCTCATGTCTACCTGTCTAAGCATCTCCTCGTCTAAACGGAACCAAAAACATCCTACATGCATGAGCTCTAAGTTGTTGCACAAGACACAACACCCAAGTTTTCACTGTGTGACTTCAAGAGAGAAGCCCCCTGCCGTTTGTATGCAAAAATTGACGACCCGTGTATAGTCTAACCTGATGAGAGTGGGGTCCATCTCTCAATTTTATATTCAATTTCTGAAAAATTTCTCCATTATCAAGCAAAATGTGAACCTACGAGATACACTGTACAGGTTCCATTCTTCGGACCATCTAATGTAAAAAATTTCATCTTTAAGCGGTCCATTCAGGTTACTACCCGTAGGTTATATGATTTATGAGAGTAATGGGATATCATATGAACGAGGATATATCTAGCTAAGATGGAGATCCATGTTCTACAAAACAAGTGTCTCACGAAAACCTATATTGATTGTTGTCAAGACATGTCAAGATATTGTATGAACGGGGTTACTACTCGTAGGTTTTATAATTTATGAAAGTACTGTGGCCGGTGAGGGCCGCGACCTTCTCACCCACACCAGGCAAGGGCGTCGTGGCCCTCGCTTGGATCTAGGTGAGGCATGACACCCTCGATCGTGGCCAGTGAGGGCACGATAACCTCGCCCAAATCAGGTCAATGAGTGGCAAGGTGTAAAAAACAAGAAAAGAAGAAAAAAGTAATGGCAAACCGATGACTCCATGGGAAAAAAGTTGTATCATAATTTAGAAAATTTAGCAGATCTTAGCGAAGGTTGTAGAATACCAACGGTGAAAAGAGGAAGATACACATGCACTAGACCATGGCCATTGCTTTTTTGTTAGAAAGCCCAACACAAAAACTTAACCTATCAGACAGAAGGAGACAACATATATATGAAGAACATGTAAGACAACATGTATATCAAGCGATGTGAACAATATTAAGAGTAGTAGGTGGAGGCACATACGCGAAAAAGTATAGCACTAGCTCTAACACCATATTAGCAAGTCTAACCTAAAAACTCAAGCTATTAGATGGAAGGAGATTACATGTATATAAAAAGCATATGAGATTGTTTATCAAACGATATCGAATGACATTTTGGCAATTTTAGTGACCATCCTTAAAAAAGTTATCATATGTCGTCTCTTTTTCAGTATGGTCATGAAAGGTGGACAGAGGTTGATCGAAGCTAGGTTATCTCTTTTTCTTCAAACTAAGGGTGAGCACGGTTCCAGAGTAGAACCTGGAACTTGAGAACCTAACCAGTGGGAACCTGTAGATTCTAGGTTCTAAGGTTTGCAGTGTAGGTTCTAAGTTCCAAAAATTAGGGAACCTGTTTCGATGGGTAAGTTCCAAGTTCTAGGTAGGTGGAACCTGGAACCTGGAACTTGAAACCTGAACAAGTTTTTTGTGTTTTTTCTTGGTCTATATATTCACGTGATCTTGCGGTGTCTCATGGCGTTAGATGATAAGTATATAATCGAGAACCACTAGTCTAAGTTTCATTTTATGACTTGTTAATATTTCATATTCTTCGTGTATTTAAATATAAGTTGTGGTTAGTGGATCATAACAGCAAATGATAGTTATTAAATGTGATGATTCACTGTAATTATTTAATTAATAATATAAGTGAAATCTGGGTAGACCCTGGAACCGACCCTCAAACTTGTAATAGGGTAGGTTCCAAGTTCTAAAAAATGAGAAATATATTATCATGGGCGAAACCTATACAGAACATGAAACCACTCACCCCTAGTATCGATTCATGCAATGACTTCTCATTTTAATTATATTTATTTGAACAATAATGTCAGGAAAACTAGTCTTTTGTATTCTCTTTAGTGAATGATATACTTGTTCAGTATTGTTGTATTATTTTTGTTTTGTTTAACTAAAAATGAAATAAAAATAATAATAACCTGTTAGATCCTGGAACTTACCCTGGAACCTGTGACAGGGTAGGTTCTAGGTTCCGGATTTCGACAGGTAGGTTCTAGGTTCTAAAAAATGAGGAATCTGTACCCGAGGGTAAGTTCCATATGAAAACTGTAAGGAACCTGGACCCGTTCACCCCTACTTCGGACAATATTGGTCTTTTTTTAAAAATAATCAATGATTTAGACTTGTACTTCAATATGAGTCCCGACAACCCGTAGTTAGGTATATTCTTATTACATCATACGTGAGGCAACATTATCTAGTCTTATTTAATGAACGCTTCATATTAGAAAGGACCAATCGCATTGATTTACTTTCTACACATTAGCTTTTCTATTAAAGTATTCAATTTTTGTTTAAAATATGGGAAGGTTTGTGGACAGGCAATCATCTAAGATTGATAAAACATTTATATTAGTTGGCACGGTTTCATATCTAACACGTTATCACTTGTTCCAAAAGTTTGGGAAAAGGACCCAATGACTAAAATAACTGGGGCTTATGAAGTTTGATTTACATTAAGTTAAGCCCTTGGAGTCTTTTCTTTTGCCGAAAATTGTTCATTTCTCGACACGTGTAGAAAATATTTTCTACCTTTTTTCAAGGGATCGTCTATCTCACCGTCTCTATATACGGCATGTAAATTGTTCCAATAATTGATCCAGGTGAATATATTATTGATGAAGATTTGGATAATTCCAAAGACATGAAAATTAGATCAGGAAACTGATGCACAAAATATGTAAGAGACAATTCGGTAGTCGACTATGATCCAAGTACTTTGATGTAAGATGTCGTCTTTGATATGAGATTTACCCTAATTTTTGTCACAATTAAACCAAAAATTCCCAAATTTTAAAATTCGAGTCACTAGGGTTCTATTCAATCCAGTACTTAAATGACTTAATTGAGCAAAATTGATGCCAAAATTGGATTACCCATGACTGATTAACCCTAAACATGATGGTCTTATGGTTCGACAATTTCAAATTGATAAGGATCCCCAATTTGGGCTAAAAATCCCTAATTTTCAATTGGATTTTGGGGCTTTTTCATTTCCTTCGTAAATTGTGCAATTGGACCAACCATTATGTAATTCAACGTTCCAGGATCATTTGTTGTGAAGACACTATAGCCAAGAAATGACTAGAAATGAATTAATAAAATTTTTGATTCAATTTGGGCTTATTTTTACCCAATTTTGGGAAAAGCACATTCGCAATTGAAATTTTCCAAAATTGATGCTGTATTAATAACATTGGATTTAAAATAAGACTAATGAATATTTTCATGAAAATTTTGGACTCCATTTACTATTTTTCTTGATTTTCACCCTTATTTTGACCAGAAGAAATTAAAGAAAAATTCAGGAAAATTTCAAAAATTTTATTTTTGGTGTAGAAATAGGTTCCTACGCTTGGCCAAGGTTCCTAATCCTAATTTTGTGATTTTTGGAAAAATTTAAAAAATGAGCTAAAAATCAGGTGTCAACACCCCCACAGCTCGGTTATTACAGATTCGAATTTCAAGCTTCTTTGCATTCTTAACCTTGCAACACAGCGACATAAATTCATAGCTCTTATTTTCCTTTCTTCTGAGAAATTATTGTAGAAAGCAAATGGGAAAATGACACAAATAGTCCATGAACTTTGGCCCAATGTGCAATGTCGTCCCTCAATTGTTAATTTGTTCAATGTGATCCCGGAAATTTTAGTACATGTTCAATTTAGTCCATGAATTGTATGAAATGTTCAATATTGTCTTTCCATAAATTCAAGTTCGAGGACAATATTGAACATTTTCA